AATGATACTTAGCATTTATGAGAATAGTCTTCCTCTTGTCTTTCGTTGTAGGTAATTTCTTTAAACAGAAATACGTACTTCGGAAATCTTCATCACGACTACACGACATTTTCTGCTTTCTGATTAGATACTTCATCGTTGAAATAATTCTTAACAATATTAACGATCGTGGTATTTTTTTAAATAATAATGTCGGTTTTCAATGAGGATAGACTTTTTCAAAATAAACGATCTGAAAACATATTAGCTCTTGGATTAACGTAATTAGGTATTTGAATCGTACTTATTACTCCTACGTAGTATACTTTATTGATACTTAGCTTGTATCAACGTTCTTGAAATATGATACGATCGTCTAAACTTATCCCAGATTTGTGACAATGAATAATCTCATGTAAATTTCGCTCTGTCTCTAATTTCCAAAACTGACTTTTCTTTTAATAAGACAAGTCTGCAGTTCGATATCCATTGCAAATTTGGAAAAAACAAACACCAGAAGTTTTTGCTGTATATACTAGCCTCTAACCTCATTTTAGCGTCAGAAGATCATAATTTCATCTAAGAATATTTCATTTAAGGATTATGCAAAAAACATTTCTCACGTAAATCCTACGCATCACCTTCAGTTTGCCTTATGATTCGTTTCACGTCGAGATTCACACCGCCAATGACAAGTAGAGCCGACGAGACTCGATCTAAAGAAAGGCATAAAGAGAAACTCGAGGTTCTGTGAGTCAGTCAGTTTCGGCTGACAAAGACGGTCTGCGGTAAGACGCTTCCTCTTTCCATTGTTTTCTTCTTACGAAGTTTGTCAATATATCGTCGACTAGCTGTTATCGTTCGTCCGACTATTACCACCAGTGCGTGGCATTCTTCCATTGCATTTATTTCGAACGATCGATCGCGACAGCGACACGACACGCCGCGCCGCGTCGAGCCTCGAAACTGTGCTCGCGGGAGCATGACCACGGTGGACAGGAAAGTGCAAAATACTTTGATCCCCGGCTCGAGCACCGGAATGGCTGAAGTGCAGCCAGTAGAGTTTTCTTTTTTTTTTTTCTTTTCTTTACTTTAAAGAGACGTCCCAGTGCCAGGGTGGAGGACCTCGATGCACTTGGGGTGATGAGGTGGTGGGACACGAAGCGGCATCGTGGTGGGATAAGAAAAGGGGTGGTTGGCAGAACAGTGGGAAGAGGTTGGAAGGGGTTGGAGGCGGCGAAAGCCTCGCCAACAGGGACCGGGAGGTCTCAAAGAAAAGAACTACTCGCGCTGCCGAGACGCTCTCCTGTCAGGGCTTGACCTTTTTTTTAATTGCATCCAGACCAAAGTTAGAAACAACGAACGGTGTCTTCCTCGCTGATTTGACAGAGAAACGGCTGCACGAGGGAAAGGGACGAAAGGAAAGAGAAGAAATGAACGAAAGACGAGCAAGAGAGTGGTGGTCCGCCACCGGAAGAGACGGTATACGTTGGAGAAGACAAACCGCGAATTCGTACGTGTCTGCTCGATGTTTGAGCGTCGGAAGGAAACGGTGGAATGCAAAATATGTAGGTCAGGGTCATGCTCGAGAGCATCGAGTTCGTTTCCTTTTTCTGTCTTTCTCTCTCTCTCTCCCTCTCTCCTTCTCTTTCTCTCGTCTGCTTTTCCACTCCAACTCCTCTTCTCTTCATCCTTTTTAGTCCCAGCAGCCTCGTCTTTTCCTTTTTTTCACCTTACTCTGTGCTTGCTTCAAATCCGACTTTAATGGGCTCGTGCGGCCGTATTACATATCTGATATTATTACGAGAGATTTTTGCGGAGAACCGAGGGATTAGGATTCCTTAGACGGTCTCTTCGGTTTGCGAAGGGCTTCCGCAGTTTTCGTCCTTAACGTTCATTAACAGTTCGTTTGCTTAATCGTGTTTAAGGATAAGCCGACGCGATTATTTTCCTGGATAATTGGAACGCATTAACATTGAACGTAATCTCGGCGCTGGTGTCTTAGGCTTGACATTGTTTCAGACCTTTGTTCAGCATTGTATTCTTCGGTTTGTACAGCATTTTTATCTCTTCATCATCCAGCTAATAAAGGGATAGAACGTTAAGAAGCAGCATTGTTAAGGAGGTAAAATGTTGAGAAGAAAAGACGAAGATCAGGTGTTGTTTATCTTCTGATGATTTTGTGCTTTTGCTCTTTAATTTCGTCCTTCCATTTCTACAGGATTTTTATCTCTTTGTTGTCTATCTCAAAGCGGTCGAAAAGTAAGGAGAGACACTGTTAATCGTAGAATTGTCGAATTAGTCAAAATGACCAAAGTCGAATTTTTTGTTTTGTTACTTACTAAAAACGTGCAATTTCTGGTAACTTGTTATTGAAACAGAAACAAGATTACGTATATGTTATATATTTTTGTCAGGTTGCTTTAAATTTAAATCAGCTACGTGCAACGTATCAAAGATCGGCAATTTTATTATTAAACGAGTAGAACGTAAAAGAGAAAAGAGAAAGTTCAAGTATTATTCATCTAATGACTTTATATATTTTTTATTAAGCTTACAGTCACGTGTGCGATCTACAAAGAGATTAAAAAAAGATGCCCTATTTTACTCGATAGAGTGAGTTTAGGATGAATCAGTGTAATCAGGATGTTCGATCTTTTTGAAATTTTATGCTTACACACAGAAAGTACGATTTTCACGATTTCGTCATTATCTCGCATCTAGGTTTGCGGAACGCTAAGTTCCTTGAATGAGTGTTTTATCGATTTTGTCTGATGAGATACGACCCCGAATGCCAACAATAAAAGTAATATTCGCGTGACTGGAACACATTTCATCATACAACGTACGCATACCGTGTATTTCTAAGAAACAAATTAAATTCACTAAACTGATTATTGCTAAATGTATGGTAATCCATTAACACGCCCATAAACATTACATTCAACGCATTAACATACATATATCGCGATTTAAATCTCGTTTTTAGATTTTTATACAAAATTATGTATATTTTCTTATTACTGACTATACAACGTGCGTATATAAGTTGGCAGAGTCTAGAAATCTGCACAGATAGAAATTTCTTTGTTTCTCGATTCTTTCCTACTTTTGTTACATATTTTCTAGTAGATACGTTATAACTTATTTGCTACTTTGTTCCTATTTTTCTCGCAGGTTACATTCTCTGTAGTCGATAGAAATAGTACGTAATCGATAAGTTGCTGCCAAATCATCAAAGTAAAACTAGGTAGACTAAATATATCTTGCACATGTTACTTTCTTGTTACATCGAGTCTAACTATCGACGATAAGGAAATAAATTGAGTCGGCTAGAAAGGTAATCGAAATCGAAATTCTTAATTCTCCTTGTATCGTCATGTTGAAACTTTCACGATATGGAAACCAGGAGTCGTACTATTTTATAATTCAACAAGAACACGAAAAGAAGAAGGTAAAATATCTGTTTGTCATTCATATTTAACCGGACTGCTAGCAGTTACGTTATTGAACATTTAGAATATTATCGTATGTTCCACGATCGAACAACAACTACGTCTAAATTATTTTTATCGATAGCTAGATAAACTAACGAATGCGTGACTGATTGTAGGCTTATGTATTTTGCTGTTACGTTTTAGAGTATAGTAAATGAGTATCTATAGTATACGTATAATGTTGACTCAACGATCGATACCTATGTTAATTTATGCAGATGTGTGTGTTTGTAAAATTAAACTGCAATGTAAACAATTTGAGGTAGAAACATTCAAACGAAAATAAGTACGCGCAGAAAGTCAGAATTTAAATAGAAGCACAAAATAAGGGGGTTCCAATTAAACTGTATCATAAAACGAGAGAGTAATTTCAGAGTTTAATTCAATAATTTCAGTAAGTTTCATTTCAGTCCAGTCGATTTTCAATCTTGTATTTATACAAATATGATATAATAGATTATTAATAAAAATAAAATGTTGCGCGAAGGAATCGCTAAATAAAAGTATTATACGTAAGGGATGAATAATTCGAGTGACGAGTTTATTCGTCCTCTTCGGTTAACAGGTCAAATTCACCCCCTGAGATTGCGTCCACGATCATGAAACGGTTCGAACTTCCACGTAGCAATTCATTTCCAGTTCACCGAAGAAGAGGGAAGCAGGGGATGGTCTGAAACTTCTGATCTCTAGCGTACGCTCGCGTAGTTTTCATTTAGGGTTTAAGTTGGTAATTTTGCTTTCTCAAGCACGCTAGTCAGCCAAAGGGTTTCGACGCGAGTCACTCAACTGGTTGCGTAATAAATCGTTCTTAAGCTGTGGAATTAGCGCTGGTTACGTAGATCCAGCCGATGCGCACGCGTTTATGATGGAATCTCTAAAGGACGATGCCAGCCATACTTCGTTCAAATGCGATATTAATAAACCGCTGAAGCGAGCAAGACCGCAGGTCAATTTACACGGCTTCGAATGCCTGTGTAGTATATAATTATGGTTCAGAATAAATTAGGCTACAATGGCAACAACGACGGCGACATGGTACGGTAATTACGGACGTAACTACTTTTCACAACGTCGAACGTGTTGCGTTTACGACTTATTAATCAAGAACATTAGACGATGATCGGTTCGAGCGTAATTCGGAGGATCTTCTTAGGTGATGGTTATCTTTCAAGCAACGTGTAGATACTCAGTCGGATAGGAGCGTGTAATGCGCAAAGTAAGCGCGTAACACGAGTTTCCTTTCAAAGACGACGGCATATTAGCGCTCGGTGCGGGGTATTATCGAAGAAACAAGTATAGCCGATTTTTCATGCATTTTGTAAAGCTCGTTAGAGAACATAACATATCACACCCTGAGAATAGTAAGATAATAACGGGATGACGAATCGAGGAGGCAGCCTCTCCTCGTCTTTCCTCAGATTGTCGAGTACCTATAAAACGTAATCGATGCAGATTAGAGACAGTAGAGACAGTCGAGACAGCCGCGATTAACCATTTCCCCACCGATGTCTATCTTTTCGAAAGACCCCGAGAACACGGAGGCGGCCGATCTGCAGAGGAAGCTGGAAATGCTGAACAACATGATGGACCAGGAAGCACGAGCCGAACAGGCACGACGACAGATATTGTACAATATAGGCCACTGTAAGTACTTGCCAAGTCACTGTTTAAGTGGCTGCTGTTTTATTCGAATATTCTCTCTAACACGAGAGGAACGTCCCCGATCAATTGCTACACTCGACGCGATTCACCTGTGCGCCATCACTTGCGCTAATTTCATTTTCCTTTTTAATGCGCTAAATATCACGAACATCGATTATAATTGTAGAATGTTTCCCCTATCGATGCGTTTTGCGTTGGCCGCGATCAAATCATCGTTATCATTCCGTTTGGATGAATTGCAGATCGCAGGCGGACCAACGATGGAATATTTACGTATATGATTTCGCATTTATCGATCGTACGATTTCATTCGATTCTTTATTTCTCTATATATCCGACACCGTGCCGTGGATATAGGGCTATTCGAATTGTAGGATATGGTTAATTGGTAAATTTGTTTAGTGAATATACAGAGAACGTTAAAGATCTGTGAAATTGCACTTAAACTCGGATAAACTGTGTAATTATCGTTATCTTCTTATTCGTGTACAAGCCCAACGTATGGTACAGATTTCCGTTTAAATGGACAGTGGAAAAAGTAGTTGTTTTTTCGGGTTTGTTAAATCGTTGTTAAGACGTCGGTATATAGTCGATTTACGATGAAATTCGTACAGATAAAACGCGTATGTTAACTCGATTGAAATAAAATTGTATAATAATTTCACACATTTACAAGTACGTTTTACGTTGATTTTAGTTGTAAGTATAATCGCAGCTTTGAGCGAATATAGTCGTATCGTCATGTTGATTTTTATCTTTTACAGTTCTTTCGCAGAAGCTTTTTTGTTTATGGCTTCTAGACAAAATTCGCTCGAACGCTACCTCCGATTAGCGTAGCAAAAGCTTTGTACGCTGCCAGCTTTTCGCATAAAAATCGATTCCAGCGTGATGTTCGTTTCTTTCTTGTTTTATTTGCGACCACCGACCATAAGAGTACTTTATGCAATTGCAATTGCATTATCCACGGAGTATGCACGTGGATATTTTCAATCAGCAAGTACGCTACAAAATGCCACTCCCATTGTTGGTTATCGACCATCGAGAATCGTCGGTAACTTATCCCTAAAAATTCAGCCCCTGTTCAAAAATCATTTGTCGCTATATCAATGATCGCTACACCCTTGGCATGGTAAAGTTTGTTTAACGATGAATTCTTTCTTTTTCTGTTCCATGCAAGTAGTGGAATCTCCGTCGATCCGCCTGTTTCATTCCTTTTACTTCATTTTCAATTGTTTCGTCCTCTTCGTTTGTGGACCTCCTTTTTCCCCTGAACGAGAATTCTGATGATTCTCCTGACACGTCAAATACCTCGATAACAACGATCAAATCGCATGGACATTAACCGTTTCTGTTTCCCGCTGTTGCACAGTTTCAATTTTCGGATTCGTCCAATATCGACCAATTTCGTTCCCGGTGAAGCACATTTAAAATTAACGCGATCGAAACGACGGATTATACGCTTTACGAGGCAGAAGACAAACGAATATCGTTCGCGATTATCTTTTTCTTTCTCCAGTACAATATTCCGGTAATCGTCGTTTAATATCTTCTCTGCCCTGGGGACAGCAAACAGAAGGAAAACTCATCGTGGTTCGTTCCCGATATTTTCTTCCTCGGAAGAATTCACGATTAGAAGGATCTTAGGATATTTTTCAGCAACTTTATCTCTGCATTGTTACACACATTTACACGCAATTTGTACATTTGATTTTATTTAAGACAGCAATCTTTTCGCTTCCGAACGTGTTTTCAATTAGCCTGTAAGAAAAAGTGGTTGTTAAATCGCACGACAGTTAGCGAACTTGTTTCTCTCTGCATTTGAAATTTTCTTTTCGAACAACACGAGTCTCACGATTGTGCAACGAAAGATTTTCACTGTGCCACGGTAACATTACATTTGAATTGTCTTTCAGCGGGGTACTCAGAGGATTCGGACTATACGTCAGATCTGAATTATCCAGTCGGCGGACAGGGTGCAAACAGCTCGGCTTCGCAGTTTCGTACCGCTGCCAACCAATTGGCTACCCCTCAAAGATCCCTCGAGACCTCCAGAGAAAATAGCTACGAGAGGGACGATCATCAGGTATCGTTAGAACCATACTTCGATATTTCTGTTTATCAATTATAAACATTCGAAATCACTCGATATCACAAAGACGTTGCTCTTTAATCGCCGATCGAGATTTCTTTCGTCGTTTTAAGGTATAACATTAGATCGCTATCGACTTCTTGAAGAATAATATTTTTACAAAATTTTATTTAAAGGATCTACAGAAACATGGTTGAATTATCAAACGCTGCAGAAAGTATGCGAATAGATTAAAGACTGAAGCATTGTTACTTTATAAACTATTAAATAAAAATATAGAAATATCGTAAATTTAAGATATAGAAGCCTAAGAAACAAAAATTCTAAAATATCGTCATCCAATTTATACAAAGAAATTATTGATAGAAGCACTATCTCTAATCGTTGTTTATAAACATTACGTTAATTTATTTGTAATACTCGAATAAAATTTGTTTCGCAGACATCGAAAACCTACCGTAGTTCGTTCCTTTTAAATCAGTTAAATATAGCACGTAAGATAAATTTCTTAAATATATTATATTTCTATTGGAAGTGACATTTAAGTTTCGTTGAAAGATTAAATCTCGTCTATAGTATCTCGTAGAAAGCGTGCTTCGCGGAACCGTATTTTATCGATTGTTCATGCCATCAGATTCCAGCTACAGTCGGAGGAAGACTAGCTCCGAGTAATTACGGAGGCTATGGTGGATCGGGTCACAGTCCACGATATGACGAACCATATCCCGAAGAAGGTCCACCGCAAAGGTATCAGTCTCAGCACACTTCAGAATCTTCCGAGCCACTCTTCTACAATAGTAGACCAAGACACTATAAGGAGTACAGGTATTTGACATTTACCGAGCCTTAAAACACAATATACACACGAAATCGATAAAAAGTATCGCGCATTATAGCAGAAATAACAGTTGCTACAATAAAACTTCTTTGAAACGACTTGCAATGACCAGTACTCGTGATACAGCTACTAGTAACTTACTTCTTTCTCTTTCTCCAACTTCTTTTTCTTTCTATTTCGTTGCTACTGCATTGAAATAAAAATTAACATAAATTTACTTGAATAATTATAGCTGGATGTTAAAAGATGACAGATAACAAGGTCGTGCAGTGAAAAAATAGTTTAGCATTTAACTTTAGCGAAATAGATTTTTGTACATTCGTCGTATCCGATGAATGTTTAGAACTTAACTGGAAACAATGTGCACGACTCTGGTCGTGAATCGCGTGATTCGAAGAGGAAAAAAAAAACGTTTATTATTTTCTTCTGCCTGATTTAGACGACGGAAGCACACGTGGGATTACGAGGACAGGTACGAAACGAGTACCCCAGTTCTGTCTCGTGAGAAAGTCTACGATTTTTATCGTATAACTCGCATTTTTGAACCGTAGATCACACATTTTCATCTAACATCTCCTTCATTAGCGTGTCACCGTTAGTTCAGCCCTGTGCCTTGGAACACCATCGAAACAGCTTTTACAGAAACGTAGCACACGAATCAAACACACATAGTTCGTCATACGATGAAACATTTGTGCAATCGTTTAGTTCGTCGCAGCTCTCCGTAGATCGTTCGTAGCTGTTCATATTCGACATTTACTCTGTAATTTTTATTTTATCCCGTCGATGAAATTGCAAATCGTTTAAACTTGTTACATAAAAGATCGATGCAACGGTTGGTCGCATATTAACCTTTTTGCATTTACGAATGAAATATTTCGCGTCACGGTATTCTGCATACAACGCTTCGAACGAGATATTTCGCGCGTTCATTCATTAGAAATCGTCGTTTGTATCTGTACGTGATAAAAATTAACTCGCAAACTATGACAGAATTAAACAGAACGTAGAATTTCAATATTTACAGGATAGCATTGGAAGAAACGAAAGAAGAAATTACGTAGATTAAGATACTATAGTTCGATGTTTAATAAGTTAAAGAGAATGCACTGAGCGTTCACAGGTAGTTTTGCATGGCGCAGTTAGTGACGCTGCGAATATTCGAGGGAATTGTTGGGGACGCCTTTTAACCAAGCGTATCATGCTTTCAGCAAACATCATCATTTAACGCGGGTCATTTCATCTCCGCTTTTATCTCTCCTATCTGATTATTACGGTTTTATCTCATCGCGGTCCCGTGATTTCAGCCAAGATGGTTGGCATAGCGAGGGTTACGACTATCATGGCACGAGAGTCGACGAAACGAGGATCTATAGCGACACAGAGTACTATCCAAGTACCACAACGAGTACTTCGAGACGAAGAGGTAAGACGTAAAGCAGCATATTCTGTTGGTTTTCGGCCAACAATGGATACATTAGTGCTTTCGATGTATGTTATGACGTACGCGTCTCTCTAACAATAGTAAAAGAGATCTTAACTCGGTTTATTTCTGCATCTAAATAGGTCCTCATAGAAGACCGTCTTTGGAAAGACAGATGACTTTGTACGATGATCATCCATATTATACCGACGGATATAGCAGCGATGGAAGAGTGGGGAAAATGAGCGCTACGTATCCTGAATGCCAAACAGACATTAGGTACAATGAGTATTACGATAGCACCACGGGATACGGTTATCAAGATGAAAGGTGAGTATAGTAATTACGTACTATTATTTGACTTTCCATCTCGATGTATTTTTGCACAACGCGATGTAAAAGAAACTGAATTAGGGAAAATAATAAGGTATCGGTTTGCTTTATTTATAGATGAAGTATTTAAATATAGAAGATAAATATAGAAGATATGTTAAATCTTTCTTTTATTTTAATTTTGAATGTGTCACCAGGTATGGTCAAGACGACGAAGATAGACAATGGGATAGCGGAGGGAAATGGTATTTAGGAACTAGCACCTATTATGAGAACAAACGGAATAGAAAAACGCTTCCACAGAGGCCTGCATCTAGTATCGGTATTCATCGACCCGATTATAGACCAATAGTTACCCGACAACGCAGTTATGAATCGGAGGAACTCAATCACAGGTATCAGTCAGCTTCCTTTTCTTCAATTATATCGATATTACCAAAATAAGTATATTAATACGAACCTTTGTGTTCGTTTTTAATGGTCGTAGCACTCGTCGTCGAAAACCGCTTCAACCGCAACAACGACCGCCGTCTCGAACAGAAGGCACTGGAAAGAAACTACCTCCGACACCAACAAAGCCAAGCAATGTTGTTATCAATCGTAAACTTGTCTCTCTACCTGCCACACCGAGCAGGCAACTGCCAAAGACTAGAACTCCTTCCGAGGAGAGCTACTACAAGCCTGACTACAACCAGGACTACAATTACGCTTATCGCAGCCATGATAATTTACCTCAGGATACCTATATTGACAGTATATATAGCGAGGAAAGAGGTTACGTCCAAATGCACGCGCCTGACAAAACTCAATACGGGTCCAGTTACATGCCCCAGGTCGATGACCAGTATACTAGTTCGTGTCAAGAGCCACAGACACAGGATAGGTACGATCAACAGTATTTACAAAACTCGTATAAAGACGAGTATCAAGAGCCTTACCCGCAACAGAATAACCAGGTTTATCGGAATACGTATGAAGATATGATATATCCGAACGTGAGTCAGCCAAATGATCAATACACTAGCCAACCAAACGATCAATACAGGAAAACAAGCAGAGATAGGATAATAGATGATAATTATCAGGTGAAGGGTTACGATCAGAATAACGTACAATATCAGGACAGGAAGAAACCTTACTGGGAAGATACGTATAAAGAGCAATACGACGGTTACAGCGTCTCTACATCGAGCGTATATGACCAAAATAACGTGACAAATAAATACAATCAATACCCGAAAGAGCAATACGATTCTGAGTACAATATAAATACGTCGACTGATTATCAAAGGGCTTATCCTGATACGTACAATCAGGAAATGTACGGTCAACGAATCTACGATCAAGACACATACATTCAGGATATATATAAGGAGGATGGCCAAAATACTTACAGCGAAGATACCTACAACCAGCAGGATCCGTACACTCAGGTACCCATTACGTCACAAAGTAATTACGGCGATACTTATACCACAACAGGACCACAAAAGGACTACGTTGACTATCAAACGCCGTATAGCAAAGAGGAAACCGTTAGTAGATCGTATCAAAATGACTATCAGAATCAGTATGAAGAGCCTTATAATCAATACGAAGAGTCTTATCCTGATTCTTATCAGGAACCCTTCAAGGAACGTTACAAAGAGAGTCCAGTTACCAGCACGGAAAGAAGAACGAGCGAAGTTCCGGAGTTGTCGGTAACTACGCCTAGAGGTCAGACGAGAACGAACGGATATCAGTCGAGCGAGTCAGACTATTACGTTCCCCCTCAGGAAAGTCAGGATATATCTTCGACTGGTGTACAGAGAAGAAAGAAGTTCGAGAAACGTGGACCTAGCCCACTCGTACAACAACATACAGATTCCTTGGAGTCTAAGGACGACGAATTAAAGGAGTCTATCGAAACTGCCGTGAGTTCAATTAGTAGCATTCCACAGAAGAAAGGAATCAGTAGCGACTATTCAACAGCTGCTGACTCTAGCTCCGTTGGCCCTACTTTGATCGAATCTCCGCAAAGTACGGCGCAGCCGGCGACAACGATGGTTAATCACGTAACAGCCAACCACGTTCCAACTAGTATGACGGTGACGGCAATGGTTCACACAGGAGCTAATGGAAAACGATTAACGAGAACTGAATCCTGTCAGGAGGAAGTTATCGAAGACGAGGAATATCCAGAAATCATACCGAAGGAACCACAGAGAAAAGACTCGCAGCTATCGCATCAAAGTCAACTCAGTCAACATTCTTCCCAGCACAGCCAGCATTCTCAGAAACCAAAATTAAACAGAGGAGATTCTTACGCCTCCGACCACTTCCCCGATGAATCGTACAGCAGAAGAGGTTCATACGCGCAACCTCCAAGAAAAGACTCCTTCTCATCGATCACGCAAGATACCTTCAAACCGCCTCTCACCAGGACAGACTCGTACCAAACGAGAGGTAGCTATGAACAAAACGTCAGTGCTCTTCAGCCCGTTTCCAGAACTGAGAGCTATTCGCGTGGATACTTCAAGGACCAAGAATCTATAGAGGAACCAGAGGTCAGCTTGAGCAGCGCGGTGAATGACGATTATAAGATGAGGGACGAGTCTCTTGAAAGGTAATGCAATGGATTTAGAATTGTTTAAAAATATATAGAATTATTGACATATATTAATACGTATATGTATATATTGAATGTTTATTTATGTTTATTTATGAAGGTACGAGCGAGGTGATGACGGAATGCTTCGTGACTCTCGGGAAGACTCGTTGGTGGACACGTACAAAACTACGCCACCGATGTCGCATACCGAAAGTCCACGTGGTAATTATTCTTTATTCTGTATTTTATTATATTTTTGTGAATATATTTGCGAATATATATGTGTATGATAAAAGTTATATATTAATGTTCTTGCTTCTTTATTTACAGGAAGCATAACAAAACAAGCATCCTTAGAAGAAAGTGTTCAAATGGATACTCCACCGAGGAGTCCACCCGAGCCACCACCAGATAAGGAACTCCTCGAGATGGTTGGAGCTGCTTCAGTGCCTACACAATTGAAAGAACGACCGGAGATGACATCAAGGCAACGATGGCATTGGGCGTATAACCAAATAGTAATGCAGCTGCGGGTAAGTAAATCATATTTTGATTTAGGTATTCAAAACGAATACTGTTATATAGAGAAGTGTTTTATTAATTCTAGACTACTAAATAATATTAAAAAGTATGGAATTTTCAATGAAAGAGGACTTTTATAAGATACCGTATAGATAATAGTATAGATTGGCAAACAGTCCTAGATATCCACTATGCTGAAATAGTGAAGTTGCTATAGAAATAGATATACAGATCTTAAACAAAATGAAAATGACTTTCCGTCACACCGAGGCGCTAACCAATGACCTAAACGGCGACCTTCCGAAAAATGTAGCGCTTCATGCCGGCAACCCGCATTTTTCTTACTAGTCCTTCGCTGTTGCAACAATAGCCTTGTCAATTATTATCTTGCATCGATTCGTCACGTACGTTTATCGATCTCGAGATCGCATCTATGGGTTCTGTACTTTATCACCCGTGTAGGTCGTATTGTTCGTTGTCAGTTAGAAGGTTGCCACAAATTCGTTGATCCTTATCGGTAGTTCACGGGATAGCACAAGTTATACGTACGTAGATGAATTTGAATCGACGAGTGATATGCTATCTGATATCGAAGCGTTAGAAACTAACGAAACCCTTAATTTAACCACTATAAATAATTTTAACGACTTAAAAACTTATATAAATATAAATAATTGTATCAGTATAAATTAAATTAAAACTTGCTTAATTTCATCGTACGAAAGTGTAAAAAAGCACTTCATGAACCACGAACAAGCATTAGTCACCGAATATTACACACGTCCCAGAAAGCAAAGGCGCACCGATGCATAAATTACGAATAATACGTCGTGATATCACGGCAGAAATAACAGTCGCGCTATTATCGGTGTCAGTCGTTGTAAACGAACAATGAATGTTCATTAGTGTTTTATCGGGAACCTTCGGGAAGAAATACGAGATTATGTTGGCGCAAATACCCACACATACATAGACACACACGGAAGAGGCGTAACTATCCTGAATAAGAGACAAGTTACAATAGCGAATTCAATGCGATTATTCTCAATGCGAATCTCTCGGAACGAATAAACGAGGGAGAAAAGTGAGAGAAAAAAAAGAGAAAAGAGCTCGTGAATCGAATCCCATTGCGTGGAAAGGAATCCCTGCCGGAGTAAAGGGTACGTTTATCGGCCTTCTCGCTGCCTTAAAAATACGTCGCTCATCGAGGGGACAAGAGATGGGTTAACGGTTAACTAGCTGCGACACGAAACTTCCATTAACGCAACCTTGTCACCCAATCGTGGCACCCTAAGTACGCACCTGACGCGCTCCTGGGAGCCATCGCAGTCGATATATGTATATATACCACGGAGAAATTCGCCTCCACGATAGAAAATGTAAATTCCTCGTGGTAACGCATGCTGAGACGAAGCCGATTGTTTGCTCGCATGGTCCGGCTGCGAAAATTTTCACCGGAGCCAGCCAGCATTCCAGCATCATATTACACTTTGCGAATATCATTTACATTTTCTGCAAATCGATCGTGAAGCTCTCTATATTTACGTCATGTTATTATTCTTACTATTATTGCTATTGTAGCCTATATCGCGTTCGGAGATTTAATTGCTCTATTTAGACCGTAATTTGTGATTAGACGAGAGGAATGTATCGGTTTGATGTAGAAACAATACAAAGTGGTTTAGAGGAACCTAGAAAGCAAAGTCCAGAGAAATAGCAAATGATTTATTTATGAGATAAAACATTTCTAACTTTTAATAATTGTTTATCATGTTTTCGATTGGATAGAATTTTAAAGAATTTTGAAACTGAACGCTACGTACTCTGTGCTTCTATCTTATTTTTTAGTAATACTTTGGTTTCTGACGTCTGTATGAAACATCTACAGCAATCATATAAAAATATTTGCAGAATAATCAGTTTATTTTAATCTGTCATATTTCTGTCATGAAAATAGTAACCGAGGTCTGAAATTATCCCCGTACGCCCAAACGCGATTTAAAATAGCGCGGATAAAAGAATTAAATCGAGCTATCTGTGTCAACATTTACGTATCGTTTTTTCCTCGAGTGGTTACATTTCGCTAAATTCTTAAAATCTTATCCCTTGCAGCTTAACGAATTAAGAGCTTCTTTGCGGTGAAATTTGTCGGCTTATCTCGCGAAAGCTAAACGCATGGCCACTTTGTCTCTTGATTTTTCTACTGTAAAAGAAACAACCGTTTATCTGGGAAGCTTTAAGCCGGACGAGTCTTTTTGTTAATTGCGATAGTACTAAAGCGATTTACAAAAGCTCACTGTAGACATCAGTGACCGTTACTTTTATACTTCATCCTGTCCGAACCACTAAGGTGGTTCCCAGACCGACTAGATCTTCGCGATATTACTCCATTTTTTACGTATTCGTAGGTCACAATGTTCTCGTACAATTTCTTTAAGACCTGTTCGAATTTCGTCAGAATTTTTCAATTTTAAAGATTTCTTTATTACAGATACGTGGCGATGGATTGTTAAATAAATTGTATTCGTATTAACATTAGCAACATCGACGTTTGGAAGGTCTCGTACATATAACAAGTGAATATTTCATAAGATATTTTATCAGTTGATATTAAGAACTGACTCACTTTTCAATTATTCTCGTCCGAGTCGCGTTACTATGATGTTACTATGAAATTGACAGAAGATAACACATTAAAATAATTTCTCCAGTTGTATGATTCGCTATATCCGATAATTGTATCCAGCAGTCACTTATCGGTAAAATAATCGCAAACGTTTCTAAAAAAAAAGAAGCAAGTAAAAAGAAACGGTCAAGACATAGCTATATGAACCTTGTGAAAAGAAACTGTACGAATCTGCATTCGAAGGCTAGGCACGTTCCTGCCATCTTCCCTGCAGAGGCTCGTTTCTTTTACCGCGATAGGACCTCGTAGGGCCGCAATCTATGTAGGCCAGTCGGCCTAACCGCAATCGGAAGCCCGTATATCGAGTTGGCAGCCTAGAGTTAGTGGTATCACCTTCACCGCCAAGGTCTCGTCTCCCGCTATTTCGTTATCATCGTTGCCACTTGTCATCGCGAACGAACTTGGTATCCTTCAGTAGCGTATTAGATGACAACGTGAAACCATCTACCAACGAGGCAGGAAAGTATATTTTCTATCAGCGTACTTCGAGTAGCGTATTTTGAAAAACGCACGGAAGAATCCACATCGAGGACGAAGAAAAGAGTGAAAGCCGAAGCAGCGACACTATCGATCGTTATTAGGCTTTTATTAGACGGAAGTATCGCCGATAGCTCCCGCAAAGGGAACATCTACACAGGGGGTCGTGTTAACTTAAGTGAAAATATCACCAAGAGGTCCGTCAGGGGCTGACCACCTCCTTTGCCTTAATTCCCGTACGATCCGTCACAGAGTCTGATCGGGCTGCTGCGAGAAACAGGATGTTCTTTATTCTCTCGTCCTTCGTTCCTCGTGTTTCATCGATTTCGACGAACAAAGACGTCCCGTTTCGCAAAGGATAATCAGTGAAATTTACGTGATCGATGGTCGTGTAGTGTATTTAACGGGGTAAAAGGATCTTCTCGGGAGAACTTTTCGATACAATGAACTGTGTTTGCTGTCTTGTTCGATGGTAATGTTGCATTACGAAAGTGTTTCGCGGAGCTTGTTGTATACTGGAAGACGAAACTCGTTGGAAAATTATCGAACAATCGTGGCTGGAATGCAGAACGGCGTTCTACAAATTCCAACTTCCGAAGCTTGATAATGGTCTGACCGGAAGGGCTTAAGCGGCACGCCGGATGCCGCGCCGGTATATCGCGTGGATAATGATATCCTGCGTGTAACTACACGTCACGGCTCTGTGAACAGGATCTGCAAATATCGTAGAAATTGCGCACCAACGAATTTCGCTACTCTTTTTTTTCTACCAACGTTTGGTACATTTTTTGGAAACTTTTTTATAATCGACGAAAATAATATTGTTGTCCGTTTTACAATTTTTTTATATCAACGGTCGATCGTTGAATCGTCGAAACTGTTCGATATACAAATAGGAAGAAAAAGTAAATCAAAATGGAGGCTCGTGAAAAGTCCACCGAATGGGCTCTACTATTCCCTCTGAAAGCAGGCTTATTCGCGATGAAGTCCTCCTTGTCTTCAAAGAGCGTGCATCGCGAGAAGGAACAAATAGCCAAGAAGAATCAATTATTAAAGTCGAGAATTCGCCGTGGATCTTCTTTGTCGGACTTGGACAAGCTGCAGTGTAAACCGGTGCTACCAGATGTGATTAGATCGACGGAGAAATGCTCCGAGTCCCTTCCACATTCGCCAGCTTTGTCAAGAGCGAACCTCCAACTGGGAAATTTGTACGTGAGAGATAGCATAGGCGATCTGATGAACATGAAAAGGTATGGCGCGTCCACGTGGAGCGTTAGAAGCGAAAGTTTGATCGCAAAAGTGGTGCCGCTGAGCACGGTGACCCCGAGACACAGTCCGCCGATGGAAAAGAGCATGGAGGACCTCGAGGACGAAATGCAGGATGATTTCCATGTATCCGACAAACCTCTAACTTGTGCTCAAAGAACGCAGAGGCTCAGCAAACTCATCAAGAAACACAGACGCATCATGGTCTTCAGTCCTAGAAGCCTGAAGCGAGATCTCGTAAGTTAAGGCAAACATTCAGAGACCGAGAATATGATTGAAGTTTTAATTGCTCTAAGCTTCGCTTGAAAACGTCTGAGAGTGGTTTGCAAGATGCCGGACTTCTTGAGGTTGATAATGTGGCGATGCCAGAGTATCAGCTGCTGGATAGACTTATTTTGAGAAAGACAATTGTAATTTAAATGTAATTAAGCGTGATAGTAGGTTGTCCGAAAAGTTTCTTTTGTTTTATGAGGAAACAATAGACGCAGGTTTTTTATATTATTTTGTCGAATTACGTACGATCCATTTTGTTCTGTTGAGATAAACATTTCACAGACTTGGTTTCACGTTTCTATGAAGGTGCACTGTTGTAAAAAACATGTTTGCGAAAGAAAGACACTTTTCGGACAACCCAATACATAGTGTTTTTGGAAAGAGAATATACTCTTTGTTAGACTAAGCTTAGCAGAAGAATAGAGGAATTTTTATGTATCCAGAGTTGTTGTTTCACGATTTTTAACACTGTTTATAGATCGTTTAGAGCATCGTAGGGGAAAAACATAAATGTCATGCTTTTTATTTGGTATAACAGTATACTGTTAGTTATTTTCATAGAACTTGGTGAATTGGTCACCTGTTGGCGAAAGTTTCATATGTTTGCATTGAATAGGTCGTTCGTCTTTTTACTTATACATAGTAAATAACATGAGAAAATCAGAAAATTAGGATACTTATCACGTCTTGCGTGATCAGCTTTACGTAGTATACCTTCTTCTTTTATTTCTTCCCATTGTTACGTCGTCGCATTCATACATTCAACGAGATCGTGTTCACGTGTACGCTAAGAAGCGATGTTATCGACCGTGTATGATAGAGAAGCTAAAACTAGAGACGCGTTGTTAAATTTGAAACAGCTTCTGCAGTCGTGGCGAGAGACACTTACAGGGACTGAAACATTCATGGTACATCCGTCTTTCTCACTCTCTTCCGTAGATTGCTGTATTGGCAGGTGGCCTGCATTCTCTTCACAACGCTCATCGTTATGGCCGTTTTTTTGGATAAATCCTTTCATCCGACGAGAAAAGTTTGTACTTTGCCGGTTTAGTCGAAGGAATTAGCCAAGAACATATTCGTTCTTGCGACTTTAGAATTTTATCTTTTCATATGCAATAGGTGTAGAAAATATTTTACAGCTTCTGGAGCCTGGAGATTATCCGAAGATTAACTTTACAAGCTTTTTGCTGACTGTATCATTTTTTTCTTTTTTAAACCTTTTTTAAATCTTTTAGAATTCCATGTTTTTTAACCCCGTAAGAAAAATTATTTTTTGCCGATCGTTAATAGAAAAACATTTTTTTCGAAGAATTTTGTAAAAAAATATGCAATGCACTGAAAGTAAAAGCCTGCTTTATTCGACATATGTTAATTCATACCGTTCGTAAATGTAGAGTGTCGGTACAGCATGGAAGGGTTAATAAGATGTTGGAATGTTCAAAGTTATTTAAAATGTACTTGTCTCCGTAAAGCAGCAAACTTATTTCTGCTGTTTGTGTGCAAAGCACTTTGTAGCTTCTCGTGCTTGGAGATTATCCCGGGATTTAACTGTAGGAACTCTTTGAATACATCATTTTGTTTCTTCGGTAAGTTCTATTGTAAAAGTGGATAGTATATTGAGATATTAAAAAATATTTGTCATGCTTTATCGCATTTAGAATTTATGTCATATACTTTTCTTCCATTTTGTAAAATCATTTTAGCGGTTATGAGTACATTAACGCAACGTTATGTTGCTTTTTGCTTGAAATTCATACATTCATAAAAATTGTCGTAATATGAGAAAAAAATGTTCGTTTACTTACAAGTAATTTATTCTGTTTACAAGCTTCGTCAAAGCTTAATTAAACAAATGTTTACATGCGAATGAAAATATTTTTGCCATTTACTTCACTCTTTTATCTCTACGTTAATCAACAAGATTTTCAAGAATCTCTATCGTTTGAATAGATCCAACTCATTAAGACTGTTCGACGAATAGAACTTGATTCTAAAACGAAGCATGCATTTATCGAGGATTTTTGTCAAATAAACGATTCAGAATCAAAGATTTGGTTGATAAATAGTTGCGTAATGTTATTTATACGAAAGAACGATCGTATTCCCTTCGAAATGTTCTTCTTCTTCATATTCCGCTTTCCTACTACGTTTTGAGATTTCTCTGAAATTTCCTCTTCCTTCCGTGGCAACCGCCATCTCGAAACATGTTTTAGATACGTACACACTTTCCGTATGCAAATACTTTCCAACGTTCTGCATGTGCTTCCACTTTCAAACACTTGACAGTGCAAATACTTCTGGATATAACTTTCAACGTATTGACATTTTACACGATACAATTGTCTATACAGATGTGCAAATTATCAGACCAAGATTATAAGAAAGTAAATAACAGGAGATTTCTTCCAAACGATGCTATATTCCTAATTTATAAACACGAGTTTGATGATTTACGAGGTTCGATCGGAACCTTCTTTCTAGGAAAAGTCTTCCGTTTCTTCGAATATTCTAAGTTCATATAGCAGAAAAAAATCAACAATCGTAGGAATTTCGGACAAATTGGTGGAAATTGTCTGAATTAAAATCAACGAATGTAATCTCTGAAGATTTAACAATGTACTAAAATTGAACAAACATCGCCTGCGCCCTCGTGTTCATATTTTATGCATATAATTAAAGTAATACGTATTAAATTTTATGACAACGAATTTCTTGAATCTTCAAGATGAGAGTAACAGCATGAAACGTTTCCATCGTCGTAATTGATGGTAATCCACGAAAATTTAGACATCGAATTAGTAAGGGATTATCTTTGAGCATGTCTTTTTAAAAACTTATAAATTCCAGGAACTGTTAAGGAGGTGTCCTGAATTAGAATGTTCCAAAACAGTGTTTTTTTGTGATTTTTTTTAGAAGGGAAAGGAAGAAATGAAGTCATTGAATTTTGAGGTACGGTTTTTTATATATTTAACGAATACAAAAAAAATTTTTTTTAAGCAAAAAAGAAAACTATAACAAATTTCTAAGCCTATTTCATGGGCGTCTTGTTGCTGCAGTCTTCAATCGGCGGGAAAGATCCACCTCGTAATTCTTGACTGAAACAAAAAAACCAAAAAAGGATTAAATTATTATATATTTTTCTTCTGAGTGAACTAAACAAAGGCAGAAAAAATGTTTATTTAAATAGTTGTTATAGCACCTTAAAGTTTATTTTTTTAAACATTTTTTTAAACCTGCCAAAATTTTTAGTTTCACATTTTTTTCTGTATTTTTAAACATCGAAATACATTCAAAAGTTAATCCACTCGTCGTGGAAAGATCATCAGAATAACTTTCAATTTAAGATTTCTTTTTCACTGTTCTGTAGAAATTGCTTCAACGCAAGTTAAATGAATGAAAGTTTAATCCAGAATTTTGAATGTTTTTGACGCTACATCGCAGCCTATAGAAAAAGATGAAGAGTGAGAAGATCGTTTCATAGTCGTTGAAGATATCTGCGATCTCCCTGGAATTTTTGAGTAGGCGACCAGAAATCCTCGGGGAAAATCCTCGACACTTGAACCACTGCTCGACAATGACAATCTCTTGTCAATTTGCATAGTTTTGTACGGTCACGTAGCTTCTGGTAATTTTTCCTCTTCCACGTGTCACTCGCGGAACACAAGCCACGTTTTAACTTCTAACTTTTCTCTCGCGATTCCCCGGTCGTTCCTGTGCGCCAAGAGAACTTTTTCGGTTACTCGTTCCAATGGGCGTTCGTTTTACGAAAAAATACAGTGTACAGTGTACACGCGATGGTACAAAGTTAATGAACGAAGCTTCTTGTAGCGCGGAAATGCACGCCGATCAAAGAAAGAATTAGGCGTTGAAATATGGCGATGTTTTTCTGTAATATTTTACGTTATTTGCTCAAAGAGTCGAAGAGCCGCGAACAAATTGACTAATTTGATCAGGCACTGTCGACAAAGGCAGACATATTTTTTTTTACCAAAGGCAAAATTATTTCGATATTGGATGTCAGAACTCTCTCGCACAGTCGAACTATTATTGATGAAATTTGATACGTCACGAGTTATTAGTATTAATAAATTCCCTGGCACTCTAGAGCAATAAGCTCGATAATAAAGCAAAATGAAATGTTACAAATTGCAAGATATTTGATTGGTTTATTTGACAGAAAATCGTGAAAAAGAAATCTATTAATCGATAAATTATTGTACGAGGAGACCTCGACGATGTAATATTGTGCTCTTGATTGAAATAATCGCGTAATACGATAATTAAGAATCGTTCGAGGTACAGTTTAACTCAACCTAATTGTTACCATCAAATTGTAAGCTGAAGCGAAGTTTCAAGTGAACTGTATGAGATTAATTTCTCTGGATCAACGACGTTAATTAGACTTGAGCATTGCCTATCACAAGATTACGCTCACCTCGACCTCTGTTTACTAACTTCTCATTGACTAAACACGGATCAGAAACAAGCTGTAACTATAATTCTATTTGATTCTCCATTATACGACATAAATATTTATTAGTTATTCAACTTGTTAATTAATATCGCGCCCTTAGGACGAAGAATCTAGAGTCTTGAATTTCTGGTCCCGAAGGTATTCACCAAAATCGATGATATCCAACAAAACTTTCTGCTAAATTTTGTTTAAAAGTTCAGAAATCTTCTTACGAACTCGTAATTGGCTTTAGTATATTAAGTTTACAACTGTGTCGCGCTAGTAATAACGTAAAAATTAAACTCTAAATATCTCGAAAAATTATTTTGACGAAAATTATTTCCTTCCTCTTTCTTATAATACGATATATGTGTAGGTATATGATTTCTAACGAGAGTATCTGGCGCGGTGTTTAATTCTTTAGGGAATTACCTATATCTGTAATTCTGCAGTGAGGATTACCGTGTAGATAAAGAAAAGACTTACAAGGATAATCTTCTTTTATATCGCTATAACATCCTTGGAATAGTTAATTCTAACGAATAATCAGCGCCAATGATCAAAACGAAGGGAGCAATTACATTAAGCAGAACGAGAAACCGTTGCCTAACCCGAATAGTCTTGTCCTAAACGAGGCAATCGTCCGGCAAGTACAAGGTTTACATTCGAATTTCGGTCCAGCAC